TACATGATTGTAACAATTTTTAGTGAAAAAGCTTTGACGGTCCAATTGTGCATTATATTATTTATTTTTCTTTGTTTGCTAATATTTTTCTGAACAACAAAAGATCCTGCGGGGAATAGGAAGAAAGGAAATTGGCGTAAATTTTCCAATTTCCCAACATCGTTGTCTAGAAAATAAATATCAAATGTAATTCTATTGACAATTATAACAAGCAAAATGATCTACGCGCTGATAAAGTATTTTATTTGTTTTAATTAACGTGGTACATGCCACCCTGCCTGTTTGAATGAATAATAAAATTTTGACTTGCGTAAAATCCTTTGTCTCCTAATAGCGAAGAAAAAATCAAAGTTGATGAGAAAATAAAACGGAAATTTGATGTTGATGATGATGATAGCATGATCCGTTATTCCCTCATATAGTACTTGAACCGAAATTTAAGACATGCAAAATGTAAACAACATTTCTTGAATACAACGTTTGGATCTAATAATCGAGATGCGAAGTCTGAAAGAGAGAGTGAACAATGGAATTAATGCGTTATATGTTGGAAATGAAAAATGACGTAGAAAGAGAAAATAGAAATTTAACTTGAATCGATAAATTGCTGATGACCACAAGAGAATAAGATTTTATTAAATGAAATAGCATCACGATAAAATATTTTCTCCTCTTTCATAATTTCTCCTTACACTAAAACTAATGCTCAACTTACGTCGCGCACCAGTGCACGTTCAGTTTCTTCTTCTAGTTTCACTATCCACTCGATGACGGACTCATCACGACAACCTCTTTGTCCATTTATATTCCGCCTCGCATATTGGAACATTCGATGCACACGCACACATGGCGCTCTTTATCACACGACCCACCATTTATTTATTTGCTGTCCAAAATTATCTGTGTCCGTGTACATATTTATTGTAGAGAATAATATTTTCCATTATAATTGATGAATTGTTTACAAATAGATATAAAGTGTCACAACAACCAACTGATCAGGATAAAATATACAAGTTTGATTAAAACAAATAGAATCCTAATCTTTAGGGTACCATCGTACCCTAAATATGACACATCTGTCTCCACAATAATAGAGGCAATGAAGTCAAAGATTAATAGACACGGGATACTTTTGATGGCTAACAAATTATTTTTGTCAGTCTTGCCTACATACAAAGGACAATCAACTTTATTAAAGTCACTTTAATAAAGTCTCTTTCAAAAAGTCGGAAAGGAATGACAATTATTTCAAAAGGAGTAGACAACACATGTGACACAAATTCAATCAACTATTCAAGATTTTTTTATTCAATTCAAAGTAATTTCAAGTCCGAAACTTCAACTATATATTGAGCTTCAATTTGAGGTTTTAGATTGAGCGAAAAATAGCTAAGAGTTATTTTTAGCATCCCAAGAAAGTTTACATATGTTTGTGTGTGTATATAGTTGAGCAATGTGGAGATTGTTTTATCTTCCTTATGGGGATTATTTTATTTTGTTTGCTTTAGTTTCGCATTTATGTAAATTGGTAACTATGATTTTCATTTTCTTCTCTAATTTCTAGATTTTTGGGGTCTATATAATTGAAATTTATTATTTTTATTTAAATAAAATATTCTTGATTCCCTTTGTACATTTTTCACCATTTTATTTGTATTCTTACGTATGTTTAATCCAAAGTTTATTACCTTTATGATCTCTTTACAAAGATCATAAATAAAATAGATGGCTTTATAATTTTCTTAAAATGTCTCTCTCTTTGCCAACTTTTGTTGTGCCTTCAATTGTTATATTATTCTTAAGGGAAATGCTAGGGGTATATTGGGGGTGATATAAATGATAACATAATGTGAATGATGTGGGTCTCATGCTACAGTATCGTGGGCCCCACTCCCACCCTCACTCACATTATGTCATCCTTTGTATCAACTCCAATGTACAAGATTAATCATATATGTAAATCAAAATTTCTGGCTCTATACATTTAACACCATGAGATGTAATTTTAACAACAAAAGGGATCTCCCCACTTCTATAAGACATAATTTTTTAGACGAAATTGCTCAAATTCATAATGGTCTCTCAACAAAGATCGTGTTGAAATTATATATAAATATAAATAAATAATTTATTTCAATTCCTAACTACATAAACCCTAGTTCAACATATATTACTTCTTCAAAATTGATTCTATCATTTTGTCTCACCACATATCTGTACAGTGTGTGCGCGCGCGAATCTCTTTGGCTGCAAAAATTAAGAAATGAAGCAGGAAAAAAGACATTATTGGTTTTTCAAACCTATGCACTCCATGCCATACGTAAATATCTAGCAGCAAAGATATGTATCCCAAACCGTACAAAAATGGGGGCCGACAAAATCGGTCTCGCCAGTAATATCTTCACATGTTTTCATCAAAAATGTTTGTCCACCAGTTTTATACCTCAAATTAAGCTGGACATGGCTGAAAGAGAAGAAACGTGTGTGTATGATACTTGCACAAAATCTGGAGAAGATGCGTGTCAGTGTAAATATGCAATCTGGATTTGATTTGTACAGGTGAAAAGTTGCAAGTTGAGACCTGCGGAGCAATAAGACAGACACACTTGGACAAGCATCTAACATACTCTTTGGAGCTTACTGTATTACTGTAATAGACATCGGGAAAAATTACGTCCAATTTTTCTACTTTTTCAAGTGGTCCTCCACCCATTGAGGCTTATAAATTTGGTTTCCCTAGGTAATCGAACGTTACTTTTTCGAGGCTTAATGTCGGAGGGTAAAATGTCAAAGCACTTAACTTTCCGTCTAATTCAATTGAAACTTACTTGTGAGTTTAGAGTCCAAATTGACGACCTTAGTCACATGCAAACCAGATTCATAAATTTAAATAGATTGAAGGCTCAAAACCTTAGTTTTGAAGTTTGGAGATCCATGGTCACAACATGCGAAAAGGTTGGTGATAGTGATGGCATTGGGTTGGGTCGGATATTACCATCCCAGAACGGTCGAGATTTTCAAGATAGGTGATGAAGCAGATGCAAGCCGGAAGGGAAATTTCATATATCGCCCCTTTTTAATTAATTATTTAAAATATGATTTAAATTGAAAACATAAAAATAAGAATAAACCCTGATTTTCTCTCTAACAAACTATAAACCCTTAAATATGGATTACTTAGAAGATATATATGTGATACATATTCATATCAAACAAAACTAGACAATGTAAAAGCTTTTATACCCTTTTAATTTGCTTAATATTATCCAAACAAGTCCCCTGCCCACTGCCAAACTTTACTTGTCCACTTTGTCGTACGTGATGCACGTGGACATTTGTTAGCATGGCATGTATAGAAAAGGAGCTCCATCATCGGGTCCAAAGTCCCAATCTATGCATTTATGGTTGGACACTTGGACTTGAACCGTGAATAAAAGCTAAATTCTTTTGACCAAATCATTAAAACACTTATAAAATCCTTAAAGTCCGTCACTCAGAATCATATTAATCGAATTTAGCCATAAAAATTCTTTCCGGATAATAATGTCTGCAGAAACTCTGATAGTAATTTTTGAAAGAATATTCCGTTTACCATAGCTAGTGCCTCACTTTGAGTTCACTAAAAGTAGTAAAAATAATTGTGAAACCAATTGACAATGAACACTTGTTTAACCACCTCCTTGGTTCGCCATTCATTTGGCCTCTGTACTTTAAGAGACCAGCATGGACATGTCCAAGATTGCATTTTTTTTTTTAAAGGGTATGTACACTCCCAGTATAATTGGTACTTAGTCACTTGTGTCCACTAAATTGTTGAGCTTATCCATTTGGTTCAATCTTTGGGATATCCTTTCAGTAATTTAGATCAGAAGGACAGAGAGAAAGGACAAAGAAAAGGATTGCTCACTCTCAGTCTTAGATTTGAGAGAGAGAAAGAGAGAGAGGACATCTTTTATGTAAAGAAACAAACTTCAATTATTTCAGAAAGTGAAAAAGATGAGTACCCGCAATTAATGGAGGTGGAATATGGACACAAGTATGGAAATTTCGAGCATGAAAATGATTACGAAAATGACTATAAGCTTGAAATATACCTTCCACGATGCATCATGACGAGATCAAGAAGCCTCTACTTGATTTTTAGTCTAATTAAAGTTTTTCTATAGCTAGAGGTCAGGCAACACGTGCTTCCTAAAATTTATTCTTTGCATTATTAATAATCAATAACCCGCCCAATAGACATAATCTTACGGGAGAAATTGGGGTGGTCATACACTTGTAATACAATTCTCATTTGGGGTCATCGATCTTGTTAACTATCTCATCTAAAAAATTTAAACTGATAAAAAAGAGTTAAATGTCATCTTCTATACGTCCCCTCATAGACATTTATTTTTTCATCAATGATCTAACACCCGAGTGCACAATTTTCATATAAACAACAATCACAATCCCCTTGTGCACTTTGATCTCTTCCTAGCTTTTGAAATCATATAATGATAACTGTTCACAAAGAATCTTTTCAAAAGTTATGGAATCTAAACAAATCTTTATGACTTCACCAACTAGCAACTAAATAATTGCATTACAATGGTTGACAACTACAGTGAGGTAATTTCAATTCCCGACTACAAAAACATTAAACCTTGCTTGGTCGATCTTGAGATATATATATGAATCATAAATCGAAGAACTAGATGCTGTAAAAGGAGGATAACAATTATTACCATTTTTTTTCAGAATTCGAGTCTACAACCATAGTAGTTTCTAATCCTATTTTGTGGTAAAATCATACAATTATGTAAACAATAATTGAAGGTATAACCTAGCTTTCTTAAACCAATTTAAAAGGCGGGAAATATTAAAATGCAAACTTAATTACGGATCAAAACTGAAAAATCTGATTTTTTTAACATTTCATTGAAAATTACATTTACAATTTTTCTGACCGGATTTTCAATGAACTGTTAAAATGCTGAATTTTTCAAATCTTCATCTGAAAAACAGGTCTAATTTCCTCGTTTAAAATTGGAACCAAATGACATCTTCCGTTAAAATTGTTTAATAAGCTACACATAGAAAGAAGTTATCACGCGTTTAGGATAAGACACCAGAAAAATCTACAAAAGGACCCAATAGAACAAGAGAGAATAAAGCATTGTTATTGGTTATTGAAGGTGCAAATTCAATGGTGGAAAATAACCCCCATACCTATCAAAATAGAGGACCAACCCCATTTAACATGCAAAAATTAGGATCAAGACTGATTGAAGGTCAGTTGTAAATGTAACTCGATGGTTTTAAAAAAAAAAAAACTAGAAAAGAGAAACAAGTTAGAGAATAAAGCACTTGCATTATTCTGTAGTGGCAAAAGTGAGCTATGAAGACAACAAGATACATGCCCCGAAAGCTTTATCGTGAAGAACAGAAAAAAGAATACACGTGCTTGTAACTTCAGGTGAACCACAATAACTAATATAAAGTGGTCAGTCATCATATGATATTTCCGAAGAAACCAGCACTATACATGACATTAGTCAGAAAAAGTGACATGTTCTTATGACAAGAACAATATTCATATTCACACAGTACCTCATAGGCATGGGAATCCATATCATAACTTCTACCTCAAGTCCATGAAATAGAATCCAGATGGATGAATTGCCATTATGTCAAGCGCCTGACCAGCATCTTTGCAACTGCAAATTTTCTCGTCAAGTTTGTGAATGAAGATGAACATTGTCAAAGCGAATCATAACTTTTGACAAGTCTCAAACTTGCATTTATTTCCCTGGAGATGCAAATGATAATCGGTCTCTGTATCGATTTCTGACAAGATCATTTGGAGATGACGTCTTTGCTCCTGCCTGACGCATAAGCCCTGAAAAGAGTGAATTGTAGATTGTAGTCCCAGGCTATTACAAGAAGCATAAAGAAATTCATAGCATATCATATGCAGCTCCCATAGCAAGGAAAAATAATTATGAGTAACAAGAACCTGAGAAATGACTCGATGGAATATGATTGTTAAAGGGTATTTAGGTCTTTTATGTAATACCTAGGGTCTCCTAAGGTTTTCCTAACTCTTATTATAAATAGTGGGACAGGCTAACGTAATTGTTAAGCCTTCTAATTCTTTTACTTTAACAGAGTATCAGAGCAAGGTTATGGGAGATTAATTCCATAAACTCCCCAAGGGCCACTACCACGGCGACCACGAGAGAAACTACCCTCCCCACCATCACTGAAATGTATTCTCGTGTTTCCCGTAGTACTACCAAGGACAATGTTTCTGGCTCGGGTTCGTCTACGTCATCTGAGCATTCGGCACTTATTACACAGATTCCCACTCGAAATCGAGATGATCCACTTAGTGGTGGTCGTGGTAGTTTCTCTCGTGGTCGCCGTGGTAGTGGCCCTTGGGGTGGACGTAGTGGCCGTGGTCGTGTCTCCATTCGTCAGTGCTCCTTTTGTGGGTTGGAGAATCATAATCGAGACACATGTTGGGATTTGGTTGGCCGTCCACCCAAATTTGCCAATGCAGTGACATTTGATCCAGATATTCCTACCATTCCAGTATCTCAGGCGGCTAAGGACATATCTGATGAGGAATATGCTCAGATCCTTCAGTATAGGGCATCTCAGCAGGCATCTCTTCCTATTGCTTCTTTAGCTCAACGAGGTACTTCTTCTGCTTGTCTTTCCATTCGTCCATCCCCTCC